AGGAGGTCAAACGATTCAGCAGCTAGAGGGAACACAGAGGGTGTGCTCTGAAAAAGCAGCACCCAAACTTCAGAGGCAACGGACCACTTCAACTGCCACTATCTACCGAACGACACACATCGCGACTTGACGAACTAGGCCATGAGGTTGGGCCACAGTGTGGAGAGTATTACATGGAAAGGAGGTCAAAGTGTGACTTCTTGTCCTTTCAAACCTGCAGGGATGTTGACTTGCACTGGTAGGGAAAAAAAAAACACCTGTTGAACAGATCTGCATATATTAAGGATAGTAAATGTAACATGTAGGATTTTCTCTTAATACATCAATGTTAAATTGTTATAATGACCATGAATAGTACATTCCATAGCCCCTATGACATGTTGCTGCTGGAACCTTTCCTTCCTCATTATATGCGTAAGAATATCTATGTGTTTTTCCCATAGGGAATTGATCCCAAAATCACCAACTCTGGGCTTAATGAAAGCAGAGATTCATGGGGCTACTGTTTGTATCAGTGCTAGCCATCCTTCAGTATTAAAATGTGCTGTCATGACTACTTTCACAGCAACGTACTTAAGAGAAAACCTTACACGTAACATCTTAAAGTACGATATGATCAATGAGTCCGCATGACCAGTCATGAGCTGTGACCACCCCAATATGAGGTCCGATAGCACCATATTTGTCTTTTAAATCTCTTAATGGTTAATAAGAGTGTCTAAGCCATAGATCAAGCATATCATGGATAAAACCATAGGTCTCATACTCAGACATACATGCAACAAAACACATTGCATGTTAATACAAAGATGTGTAAAAGAGCATGGTCAGTTTGGTTTTGCAGCAGAAAAATTTAGGTTGTGCTGTATTAAATGGACCAGGAAATGAATTCACCACTGTCCCTCTGAGAAATGTCTTTATGTAGTGTTTAGTGTGTTTGTCAGAAAAGTATACCTATCTCTAGATGCATAAAACCATCTTCTCATGGCTTAAACATTTAGGCTAACACTGTAATGCCCAACATTTTAAGAGGGTGCATACAGTACAAAAATGACAGAATGGAGGACTGGCAGCTGGGTAAGACATGAGCAAAGAGTAAACTACGGGCATACAGAATCCCCCATATCCCTAACACACAGTAAGAGTATTCAAGTGAAGAAATCTTCATTTGAGCCTGTCCCTATACTGTGATGTGAAGGAGCTGGGAAAGAGCAGAGAAACACTGATCATCATCTACTGGTCCATCTTTTATTAAATCATTCATTTAAGGCAACACAACTGAAATCTGGGTCTTTTCGGGTTACTGTGGATGGAGTGCCAAAAGCCCTTGACATTTTGAATAAATTAAAATAACCTATCAGTTAAGTAAAGGCTGTTACGAAGAAAGGTGTTGGTCAAGTAACAAGAACCTCTCAAAAATTCCAGTTAGCAAAACTTAAACCAAACCCAAAACATACAGATCACACGATGGCCCTCAACAGTTCAAACACTGTAAAGTAAATTCAACTAGACTCCTGTGTGGATGTAACTCACAAGTGATATCTGGATGAGAAATGGCTTTTCAAGTCTGTACAAACCCCTGGCTTTTTATTTGTAGACCTCCCCTGTGAGTCGCTGGCCCCATGCAAAGATTCTGCACTAATTAAATTAACAGTTTTTGCTCTAAACCTAGTGCCAAACAGCTGACAAAACAGACCACACACACCAAAATCTTTCCTGCTCCATGGACACAGAAGTCAACAAGATCTCACATAATGACAGAGTATCAAAGCAGGTGGTAGTGCGGTTTCAACGACTAAATCAACTAGCTGCATTGCTGTGCCTGCTTCAGAGCTGAGAGACAATGACACGTGTTTCTCGATGACACAAACATGTTAAATCTTTTGTGGCTCAAGCAGTGTATCTTCATTAAGAATTACAACTTCAATTATATAGAACACTTTGTGGACGAGTGACAATGGTTAGTTATAATCTGAAAAGGCAAGACTGTTTCCACGACGACGAGGGCAAGACAAACAACAAATGACTGAAACTGCGAGGTTTGTATATTGTTCAGTGACCGCGGCCTTATTTGAGGATGGCCAGTAAGTTTGCATTCAGAGGCTAAAGACCCACTACAGTTGTGGTTACCACTTAAGTGGCACTGAATGCAAGCACTACAAGCCAAACCACAGACTACTCTGTCCAAGTGTAGAATAAAAAGAGAATATGGCTTTAAGTAGTTATATCCTGTCCCTGTCAAGTGACTCCCTGGCAGTCATCTCCAAAACCAACACACAAGAGAAATTTAAATGAAAGCAGTGTTCTTATGCACACTTTTTTCTAGGTACTTGTAGTTATGCCTGCTTCCTATTCCCAATGTGGTGAAAGCAGACCCACTTGTAGCCCCATTTTACATCTTAAATTAACTAGCCACCTGTGAGGGCATGATTACCCTTAGACAAAGTGGCTTTCTCTGCGACTTAAAATTTGAAAAAACAAAAAAAGAAGGGACATAGCTGTAAGCTCCAGCCAAACAAAGGCAGTCCAAGGTTTACAGGTTCCACCACAAAACGACAAATAAACAGGGACGAGGTTTCCAAAATCTTTAGGTTTCTTTAGGCAAAATCCAAATACTAATTTATGCTGGCAGATCACCGTCTATATCCACACACAGAAATACATACGATTGTGAGCTCAAATAATAAACACTGCCAGCAAAGGCTGGTCAAAGAGCGTCACAACCCTACCATCTATACTTTGGAGTATACAGATCCCAATAAATAGTTCCAACTACAACACTACAAACTTTACAAAGCTCATACAACCTCAACAATCAAATTTTTTTGAGAGGAATCAGAAGAGAGATGACACAGCCTTTGAAAACTGCAGTTGCCTTGCTACATGGTATATATGTCTGGATATTAAAATAAAGAAGAAAAATAAGGATTTTCTTAGTAAATGTAAAATTGTAGCAAAGCCTCAACAATATAAGAGCAAGACTAATCCACTGTAAGAGACTTCCTTCCATCCACAGAATCAAACACCTGATTAGGTTTGCTGATAAGATGCAAGATAAAATCAATTATTTAATTTTCAAAAATATGACTTGAGGGGGTTATAGATATAGGTATGCATATGCTGCAAAAACGGAACCACAGGCAAAGAAAAAGAAATGTGGATTTCTTGCCATAATCAAATGATGCTTCGTTGCCACCCGTTGCCATGTCAACGTCTGAAAGACGGCCAGCATGGCAACGGAAACTATCATCATAAAATGGTACAGTAGTAGAAATAGCTAGACCAGGAGGGGGCGGGCTCTCCTGGGAAAAGGTCCGCGGAGAGGTCCAATGACTGGTCATGCGGCTCGCTGTCAGGAATAATGGTTGTAGGGTGGTAGAGGGTGCCCAATGCCATTCTGGTAGTGATGGTGCTGGCGGTGGGCGATGTACTCTGCATAACCCATTGTCATCTTCTCGCTACGGTACCTAGAAATGAGAAAAGATGTGTTGGTAGAGGCTAGCTGACCCTCAAGTCATTTTAGGAGAGCTATTAGCAGCAGCCTGAACCAAAGCACAGAGCTGCACATACTGTGAGACACTGTGCAATCAATTTAAAACAAATGGGTCAAAGCTAAACTCTGGAGGTTTCAGTCAGAGCTCCATTTAACACTACACACTGTCTACCACACAAGTTATTTCGTTAAAAAAAAAAAAAAAAAAAGCAACCCGCAGAGACGTTGTTGCCTTTCTTGCACAGTCTTCCACATTGCCAAAGCCTGGTGACTACATTACCCACAGTGCAACGCTGCCGCCACAGTTCATTTTGGGATTTAACAGTGGTGGAAGAAGTACTCAGATTTTTTTTACTTAAGTAAAAGTAGCAATACCACATTGTAAAAATATTATGTTACAAGCAAAAGTCAATAGTATTCAAAGCATTAGCAGACAATATACTTTAAGTACCAAAGGTAAACGTACTCATTAGGCAAAATGGCCACATATTATTCAATTATAATTATTAATGGATTATTGTACATCATATTTAATGTTGGAGCTGGTAAAGGTAGAGATAATTTTTACAAAGTTATATGCTTATACTTTGAATTACTGCTGGGTAGCTTGTGAATTTTACACCAAGGATCAATAAATCTTGTGATTATACTGTATTTAATGGATTTCTGAAAGATAACTAGTAACTAACGTTATTAAATAAATGTAGTGAGTACAAAGTACAATATTTTTCTCTGAAATACAGCGAAGTTGAAGTATGAAGAAGCAGAAAATGAAAATGCTCAAGTAAAGTACAGATATAGAGTTCTCAGTCCTGCTCAGAGGAGCAAGAAGGCTGCCTAGCAGAGACATGAGCGAGGATACACAATAGCATCCTTCTTAGAAGTCTTTTATGGACCGACCAACACAACCCTTTATTGGCAATCAGTTGGTGATTGGATGCTTCAGATATCTCTCTATCTTCCTCAGTTTCTTTTTTATCACATCTTTTCTCCTCACTTTTTACATGATAGGGACCAAAAGGCGAGGAAAAATGCAAATGAGGGAAACATGAACACAAGGGCATTGGGATGTATCCAGTGTTGCAGCAGTCCCAAAACGGGGCTAGTATTGCCCTTGTCCAGAATTCTTTACTATGTGCATGTGATATACCAGCTAACATGCAGGCAGCGTAGACACATGCATTATACGCGTCTCAAAAAAAAAGCAACTGCGTCTGCTCAAATACAAGACTGTAGTTCTAAATAAGAATCAGAAATTAATTAACTTTAGTCTGGCCGATACTGATCCTGTAAAAAAACAAACAAACTGAATTTGATGTCTAAAAGCAGTGGCATTCCCCTTTAAGCATCTTCACTGGTAGCAGATATACTCAGTTTCAAAAGAGGACACTTGTCCATCATTATTCATCTAAACTTTATAAAAGGTTAAATTCTCCCAATTTTGCTTGATTGGCAAAGCTTGTAACATGTGAATGTACAATTTGGCATTTTGTCTTGTGTTTGTCCATACTGATATAAAATGTAATTAATATATGAACACATGTAGGTAAATTAAAGGATGAAGTGTAATCTTACCTGGTTAATTTAATGGTCTTCCTGAAGTCATTTGTGATGGGAGCTTTGTAACCTCCTTTTCGTAGTAAGGAATCTATGGTTTGGATGTGGTCCCAACCTTGATGAAAAGTAGTTAAATCTCTTTATACAATTCTAAACATATATACAGTCTATATATATATATATATTATACATGAGGCTTAATTATTAAGAAGTCAAAAAGATCTCACCTTGCTCCTTTGCGACCTCTGGTAGGTAGGTGGCGGTGCGCTTTGATCCTTTTTCATTGAAAAACTCTATCCTAATACCGTGAACACCCACCTAGAATTCAAGACAGACACAACCAACAAAAATGTTTGACCCCATAAATCACTCCATCCACAAAAGTCAAAGCTGTCAAAACATCAAGTTGATCAGTTTTAACTGTTCTTTAAAGCAAAATGGAGAACTGTTACATTATACAACCAAATGCCATGTTTTTGTATTTAATCCAACACATTACTGAATGGTTAGCTATTCAGTTTGTTTCTACCAATCCCTTAGCTTTAGTCATGCTAAGGGATATTATTATTATTATTATTATATTTTTGAGAATATAAAAATTTGGGGTGGAAAAAATAGATTCACATAAGAATCGCGATTCATATCTTCTACAATTCTGAATCAATTCACATATGTTAATCTATTTTATGTAATAATATTAATGGAACAAAAAAGGCAAAATTCTGAGGTCAGTGCAGCACACGGACAGCGCACAGAGTGCACATACAGGCTTTGGCTTGTGCTGTAGCATTAGTTCATCTTCAGAAAAGAAATAATTTGAGCGCATGTTAATGAGCATTAAAAGATGTGTGGAGGACTGTGTGGATACTTCGTAGCCCATCACCAACAATTTGATGTTAGCGTAGCAGAGCAGAGAACTTATTAACTAATGAGAGCAGCTCAGCAACACACACTGCAGTGCTTCAGTCAAACTGCTGGGGCAAAGAAAAGAGCTAATTTCTTCAAACCAGTGCCCATTTTGGATCACATTGGCTTTCTTGCGTAGTAAAACGCTGCCTTAGAGACGCTGTTCTGTACTGCTGCAGACATAATGTTAACACCACCACCACAACAGTGCTCTGCTTTGTTCTCCCCCTCCCCTTTACAACACACAAACCAGCTAGCAAAAACTGATGGTGGACAAAGTACTCAGATTGTTTACTGAAGTAAAACTATCTGTTTAAACTTTTTTTTTTTTTACTTTACTTTTTTTTTTACCGTTTTGAATCTAAAATCAAGAAACGATTTTGAATTGCCAAGTTGAATTATGAGTGAAGATTCCCACCTGATATGAAAATATTTTTGGTCATTTAACCTTTTGCTGTTCATTGATTTTGGTTAAACACATAACACACAAAACATTAACCTCAGAGCAAAGTGGAAGAGGTGCTTGTGTAATATTAGAGCAAGGCATGAGATGGGTGTGAATGAGCATTAAAGCTACAAGACACAATTCTCAATACAAATTATGTTATTCTTCATCTAACTGCAGCGGTCTGCCATATTAAGCAAAGCATGTCCCTTACCTCCCAGTCAAGATAATCACCGACGTCTTCAAAGTTGGTGAGAAGAGACACTGAGCAGAAGAGGCGAGGCAGCTCATCCCTTGTCATAGGGGGGAAGCGGCTGTCTTTAAGGGCACTGCAGACATAACAAGCACAAAGAACAATACCACTGCAACAGGTAATTCAGAAAGTTGTCACAATCAGGTAATGAAAGGCCAAATAATGTTTTGGATTTTAAAATACCACAGACTCCAATAATCATATAACAACAAAAACATTTTTTAATGAAGGGAAACTTTCACTCAAAGTGTGTACAAATTACCAGTTAAGGGGCTGTGTGTGTTTACATGTGATAGACAGGTCAGGTGCATCTGCCCTCAGGTCAAGAACTACCAGTGAAGAAACACCAGGCCCCTTGGGCCAAATATACAGAGACTTACCCTTTTCTTCAACAGGTTATTTTCAAACAATAGCACCGCAACACCAGCTTATAGAAACTCAAGTCTGCAAATGTATAAATAAAATACTTTTGTTTCAGTCCTCTCAACATATCTTTGAACTCATACCCTCATAGGTTACATGATATTTAATTGACAAACATAATTATTAAATATAGACTCTTAACAGCGCTGTCCACCAGAGTCAGTGTCCATTTGTGGTCAACCCACTGGTCAGGTGACATGCTGGCTTGGTCTGGAGAAAGTAGAACACTGCCCAATACAACAACATTTTATTTTTCAGCACCAATCATTCTGATCTCAGCAGTCAGGTCATCCACACTAAATGATTTCAACATACACAGCATTGGAACAGTATTCATTTGACTGAATATCTTGACACCCATAATGCACCTCGTCTTTTCTTCTTTAATAATAGATGTTAATGAAAACCTTCATGGAAAAACGGGCTTAAGGGCATTAATACCTTTCCTTTTATTATGTGGTCAGAGAGACATGCTCTGCACACCATTACAGAAAGCTACACAAATGAAACATTTATTTGAAGCCATGAATAGGACAGTTATAATTCCAGAGGGTTACTGTTCAAAGTCACCCAGGTTAGCTCATTCTTGAGTTCAGTTTGCTCATTGTTCACTCTTTTTTTCTAGTGTGTCACAATTCCTCCACAAACATTCTCTGTCCACAGCTTCGACAGAGAAAAGCAACTCTGCTGCTGCTTACCTGGTAAGGGTGTACTCCCTGAGTCCTGAGTGCAGATTCATGGCAGAAAATGTACCTATACAACCCCGCAACCGCTTGTCTCTGCCTATTTTCCATGTGACAAACAGCGGGCTGGAAAAAAAGTGCAAAAGGCCATATTAAAGTAGCTGAACTTTATAATAACATCCACAGCAAATGTATATTTCTGTCATGTATAAAAGTCCTTTAATTATTCACATTAGGTAAAACTGACACTTAATCTCTTACATTTATTGCATTGGTCATCTGTCCACCCATGACTGGAAAAACAGTTCTTTTTTTGAAACAGCATTCTAGCCTTCATGTAGTTATAGGGCTTTTCCATCATTTTTTATAGTAAAACTGCTTCTGGTGAAGAGAATTAGCATGTAAATTAACCCAGAGAAAAAACAAACAAAATGTGTGAATGAAAATGAATAACTCAAAGTACTGCATAACAGGACCCAAATGACCATTGGACAGAGTATATGATGATTTCAATGTAAAGGTTTCATTTCCATGTTTGCATTAATAAGGTTCAGATAATACTGTGTTTGGACACTGTTGACAGGTGTCATGGTGGATTGAAACCACAAATATGCAAAACAGAACATGCCCCCCATGCAGTGTTGTGCTAATAAGGACCAACAACCTTTCTACAGTTTTCATTTGGGTTTTCTGGTCCAACACACATCTGATGGACAAATCTAGTTCAGTTTTAATCAACGTGACTTTCTACACTGGCTACAAAACTGCCTGAGCATCAGCAGTGCTTTTGTGAGCACTGTAAAGACACTTCTGAGTGCATGGTAATACTGTGGCTGGACAGCTCCACTGTGACACAGACAGGACTGCTTCAGCCCTGGGTGCTCAACAGGAAATTGCACTTATCATTTATCATGGCTGAAAATTTGATCTCATTTACTGATTTATCACCTGCCCATCCAAGTCTTGTTTTGACATAACATTGCAGGGCTTCAGGTTATTTTTTCTTAATATGAGCACCAGTACAATTTAAAGAGGCACCAATTAAACTGAAATTCAGCATGACAATTTCACACAATTACCGGCATCACTCAAACTCTTAAGTAATAAAAATAGACACTTATTATTCCATGTTACAGAAATAAGTGGTCTCATCAAAACTAGAACTCTGACAGGTACACAGAGACTTTGTACTGTACTGATATGGACTTAAGTCTGAAATAAAGCTTATTCACTGATTTACTTTTATTTATATTTCCTACACTTCATCAGTTTTTTTTTTTCCATCAGTATGGAGCCTACATCCCTCTTCTTATTGAAACTACCAATGCAGCAAATCTTCGTTAAAATGTTTCTCTCATTCACTTTGCTTATGGAACTACTTGTGTGTAAATTACACAGTGTAAAGAGAAATGACAAAAACAAAAAACTTGTAGTCAGTTACAAAAAAAAAAAAATAATAATATATATATACACACCCACACACACACACACACACACACACATACCAGCACCAATACAGACATTTCAAAACCTGTTTAAGATGATTTTTGTTTTAATGGGGGCGCAATCCTAAACTAGAAAACATACACGAGACATTTACTCTTTAAAAAAAATCTTATAATTTTATTTTTAGATTCTTCACATAATGTGCAGAGCTGTAGCAACTACAGAGGTATAAAGTTGATGAGCCACACAATGAAGCTATGGGAAAGAGGAGTGGAAGCTAGGCTAAGGAAGGAAGTGGATATCTGTGAGCAGCAGTATGGCTTCATGCCCAGAAAGAGCACTACTGATGCAATGTTTGCACTGAGAATGTTAATGGAGAAGTATAGAGATGGTCAGAAGGAGCTGCATTGTGTCTTTGTGGATTTAGAGAAAGCGTACGACAGAGTGCCGAGAGAGGAGCTATGGTAGAGTAGTTCAGGATATGTATGAGAGGAGTACGACAGTAGTGAGATGTGCTGTAGGTCAGACAGAGGAGTTCAAGGTGGAGGTGGGGCTACATCAAGGATCAGTTTGAGTCCCTTCTTGTTTGCTATGGTGATGGACAGGTTGACAGATGAGGTCAGACAGGAATCTCCGTGGACAATGATGTTTGTGGATGACATTGTGATCTGTAGTGAGAGCAGAGAGCAGGTGGAGGTCTGCTCTGGAAAGAAGAGGAATGAAAGTCAGTCATGGTAAGACAGAATACATGTGTATGAATGAGAGGGAGGGAAGCGGAACAGTGAGTTTA